AGTGTCACATTTTCTAAATTTATCAAAATTATCATTAACCAAGTTGTATATATTATAACATATAAATGTAAAAGAATAATTCCAAAAGGGGAATTACTCATGAAAAAAATAAATTCTGAACCCTAGCCAGTTTGACTCAGTGGATAGAACGTAGGACTGTGGACTAAAGGGTGCCAGGTTCGATTTTGGTCAAGGGCATGTACCTCGGTTGCAGGCTCGATCCCTGACCCCAGTCAGGGTGAGTGCAGGAGATAGCCAATCAATGTGTCTCTCTCACATTGATGTTTCTCTCTCTGTGTCTCTCCCCCCTCTCTATAAGAACCAATGGAAAAAATATCTTCGGGTGAAAATTAACAAAAATAAAATCCTATATAATAAAAGGCTAATGTGCAAATTGTCCCCTCAGGAGTTTGACCGACAGGGAGTTTGACAGCTCACTATGCACTGACCACCAGGGGGCGGCGTGGAATGAAGGAAGGCCCTGGCTGGCAGCTGGAAGTTCCCCATCAGCCCTGATCGCTGGCCAGGCCTAGGGACCCTACCTGTGCACGAATTTTGTGCACTGGGCCTCTAGTAAATTCATAAATACAAACATACATACATACATAAATTCTGACACATAAACTCAAGTATCATTTTGTTTCCATAAAAAATGTACATAAAGACAGTGATAGAGCAAATGGAGCAAAAATGTAAGCAGTTGTGAATCTGAGTACAGGGCATAAGGGAATTTCTTATACTAATTTTGTAACTTTGAAATTATATCAAAATAAAGTTACCCACCCCTCCCCAAAGGGCAGTACTTAGTTATTTCCCAATAAGTTATATGCAGTAGGACCACATAAGGGGGAAAGATTATCACAGTTTGGAAGTTCATAAAAGAGAGAGGACCTGATATACACCTTGAAAATAGCTAGGAATTAATTAGAGGAAGAAGGGCATTCTAAAAATAAAAAAAGAAGAGATCAAGTGAAGTGTTTTTCATTTTTGTCCTACTCCACTCCCTACAAGGAAAGGAGACGTATGATTATTTGAAAGTAGAGTTGTAAGAAATTAGTGAGAAGGCAGTTATTTGGAGATATTAAAATTAAGCAGATATGCCCAGCTGGCGGGCTCAGTGGTTGAATGTTGACCTATGAAACAGGAGATAATGGTTCCATTCCCAGTCAGGGCATATGCCCGGGTTGTGGTGGGATTAAGAGATTTCTATTTGCCTTAAAAATTACCTTTTTTTTTCAATGTCATGTTTGTGCAAATATTAAAATTAGGTTAAGGAATAAAAATAACTTACCCTTCTGTCAGCTGCTACAAGTCCAAACTCCTGTAATAACTTCCCAAAAAAAGATCTTTGTGGTTTTCGAAAGAGATGAATTGTCCCCTTTAAAACAAACAAAAATATACAAATCAGTATTTAAGTACCTATTCTTCATAGTTCTGTGATGTAATATAGTAATAACAACTAACACTTATTGAATGCTCAATACGTGCCACTTATTCTAGACACCGGACATATATTTATCTATTTAACTCCCACAATAATTCCAGGAGGTGGAAAAAAATTTTAGTAAGTTTTCCAAGGGCACAATGATAGTAAATGGCTGATGAGAAATTCAAAGCCAGACCTTTTAGCTCCAGACCATACTTCATTGGATAAGGCAATTTTGAACCAGAAAAGCAAAAAGTTTGTTAAATGGCTCTACTGGAAAGAAAATATTTCAATTTACCTAATCAAAACTTTATATATGAAAGGGTTGGTAAAACTTACTTTAGTGAAGCCTCTGAGGCTCTTTCTTAGGCATTCAAAGTACTTGACGTCCGTGGCTCCTGCTAGCACATGGTTTGGGGCTAGCAGAGAAAGGGCCTGGCAGTAGGGTTATCAATCAGAGAAGAGACTGAGTGGTGACTAGAGTGGGATTAACTATTCAAGATCAGGAAACCATGTGGGAAAGCCTTAGCATAAAGGAGAGTTCAAGCACACATGGAAAATTAGCTTATGATTATGGCATCCCAACATCATGGGAGAAAATATGAGTTAATCAATAAATGGTGTTTAGGAAAAGGTAAATCTGGATCCCTACTATACCCCTTACTCTAATTTAGTTTTATTTTTTTGCTTTTTCAAAATTTATTTAGATTTAAAATTTTTTTGTTTTAAAATTAAAATACAAAACTATAGAGTATTTGAAGAAACTACTAATGTATAATTTTACAATCTTGGAGTTGGAGAAGACTTTTCTTTTTTATTTATTATTTATTTATTTCAGAGAGGGAGAGGGAGAGAAATTAATGATGAGAGAAAATCATCGATCGGCTGCCTCCTGTACACCCCCTACTGGGGATCGATCCTGCAACCTGGGTATCGAACCCCGAGTGGAATCGAACCCGGGACCCTTCAGTCCATAGGCCGACGCTCTATCCACTGAGCCAAACCAGCTGAAGACTTTTCTTAATAGTACATAAAACCAAGAAGCTAGGAAGGAAAAAATCTATCAGTTTTACTATAACTTTCACATTGGAAGACAATACCCTAAATACAAACAAAAACCCTGGAAAGATAAACTGTGGGGGAAAAAATCAAAAGCAATTGTCTCTAGGGGAAAAAAAATCTTTCATAATTTTCAATTGTCATACATAATTTTATTGCTAAGTGCCACATCTGGGTTTAACAAAATACTTTCCTAGATGGTAAAGGTCATATTCACCTTAACAATATACTACATTTCTAGCTTACTAACGTTGTCCAATTTGACTCAAACACTGAAGCTCCATGGAAAGCAGTGGAACTGGGTATCAGGTTAAAACTCATTATATTTTCTCTACTTTATGTATGTTTGAAGTTTTCCATAATAAAAAAATAATAAATCAAAAAGTACTTTAAGTATATAACCCTAAAGTGCTAAGCCAATTCAGTTGAAAATATACTATTTTCCTTTGGAATGGTAATCAATACTAATCAGTATACTCTGTTCTTAAAGAATTACGTGTGGGATATTTTGGTTCCAAAGAGAATTCTGCTTACTACTGTTATCACTGGGTATCTTCTAACTTCAGCCCACCTTCAATTATTTAAGTTTTAAGACAATGAAAGTGAATAAAACACAGGGGGCCATTTCTAATGCCAATCTGATATTGAAAATAAAATAAAAATCCTAACATTCAGGTCACTCCCAAATTATATTGGCTCTCCATCGCTATTAGGATAAACTCCAAATTTTAAAATGTGGAAATTAAAGCTTTCAATTATTTAGCCTGTTTCTTTTGTTTTATCTCTTGCTCCAAATAGGAATCCACAACTCTAACTCGACAGTTGTACCTCATGTATGATGATTATACCACTTTCAAGTGAAAAGGCAAGACTTGTCTAGCCCAAACTCTAACAGCCCTGTAACACTTAGCAAGCTTCTTGGCCTGTTTCCTGATCAAGTGAGAGTAATGTATAATAGATTCAGAGTATTAGAGTAAGGCAGGATTGCTCAATTGCCATGTTTCACTTCCTACATGAAGCCTTTCTAGATATTCTAAACTACAGTGTCTTTTTTATGCTTACTTCGAACTTAACCATGGGATAGCCTTCATCTCGTCATCTTGCAATTTTAATTCCTTTTTTTAGTAACTTCACTAATGACTAGAGTTATATTTCCTTTACATTTTCTAACATAGCACTGTGCTTTATGCATACATAGCATGTCTTTAATAATACATAATGGGGGACTGATAAGATTTCTTCCCAAAAACTTTAAAAACAAACCTTAAATGCTCTATTTCCCTGTATTACTGTTTCAAGCATAAAAATTTAGTGCCACAGTTATTTATTCAGTGTTTTATAAAACAGGACCAGGCACTGCACAAAGCTCTGGTAATAGGAGTGCATTCATTGGTCCTGCTCTTAAAGAACTTACAGTCTGGAAAGTAAGAAAGACAAGTAAATACCCAATTTTACCATAGCCTGGTAAGGGCTATAGATATTATTGGTATAAAGCCCCACATTATCATGGAAGCATAAAGGAGGCACCTACCAGAATCTTGACCCATGGCAGAAAGGCTCATGAAAGAGACTAACTAACGTGTAAGGGTTATACCGATAAGGATGGGGGATAGGAGATGAATGATTCTGGCAGGTAGAATAGCAAGTACAAATTGGGTGCAAAGGCCTAATTCTACAGCAGATCTGCAAGCAGCTCACTGTGGCTGGAATATAGATGTATGAATGAGTAAATGGAAGCTGTTTAACAGTAAGACGCTTCACAACAGATGGCTTTGCAAGTCATGCTAAACAGTACTTTATCTTGAGGGCTATAGAAAAAAATTGAAGAACTTTAAGCAAAGGCGTGGCATAGTCAAATCTTATAAATTTAACTCTGGCTGCACAGTGGTGAATGTTTTGAAGAGAGTGCAACTGGAGGCTATTTGGTCAGCCAAAAGGTAAACGTTTACCCACTTTCTTTTTTTTAAAAAATATACTTTTATTGATTTCAGAGAGCAAGGGAGAGGGAAATAGAGACAGAAACATCAATGATGAGACAGAATCATGATCGGCTGCCTCCTGCATGCCCTCCACTGGGGATCGAGCTTGCAACGCGGGCATGTGCCCTTGACTGGAATCGAACCTGGGACCCTTCAGTCCGCAGGCTGACGCTCTGTCCACTGAGCCAAACCAACTAGGGCTATTTACCCACTTTCTGTGTGTAAGTAGGGATTACAGGAACTTTCCAAAAGATAGAGGATGTGAACATTTTTCCAACCATATTCATTCAAGGAAATTTAATTATGAGTGACAATGGCTTAGGCACAGACATGTGGTCCCCTTCTCACCTGTAGGCTATCCATAAGGGGTCCAATAACTTTTTAAATAAAATATGTTGTACTTCTTTTGACGCTGAAATCACAATCAACGGCTTATCTTTAGATAAGATTCAGAGTACTACATACTTGATTTCTACAAGCACGGAATGGCAAATCCACCTAATAAGATTTAGATTTAACACATTCCCCAAGCCACAAGGTGTTCTGGGGTTTACAATCACAGAAAAAGCTGGCTGCCATTCGATGCTCTACCACCTCGACTTTCTCCACTCACTGGCCTGCTGACAGCTGCTGCCGAATCAGGCCACCTGGCACCCAATCAAGGCCGGTTGCAGAGTGGGTATCGGCCTCGATACGCTACTCATCACCCTCTGCTTATGCCGCTGCTAGCGTCCCTGCCGTAAACATCACTGTCACGGTCGTTTCTGCTGTGCACTTGCTTTCCGATCTTTAGTCTGTGCTGCAGGCGCTGGCGCCCGCAAAGACTTATTTGTATACGAAGGAAATCTCGGCAGGAGGAAGCCATCAACAGGCAGGAGCTGAAAGCTCGGCCTGGAGCCGCCCGGGGCCACCGGGGGCAAAGGAACAAGGTGAGGGAGCGCGGAGGAATCAGAGCTCCGGGAAAAATCTTTCGGGAGCCAGCCGCCTCTCCCCGGGGCCCGAGCACAACTCCGACGACCCCTCCTCCGCGCAGCTGCGGCATCCAGGCGGCTGCAGGACGAGAGAGAGAGTAAGAGGAAACACCTACAGAAACCCTCCACCCCCCGGCCAACTCACCATGGTAAGGAGCGGCCCCGCTCCCGCCGGAAGACGCTCTGGGAGCTGGAGTTTCCCTAGAGCGGAAGGGGTGGAGCGTCAGAGGCCGATTGGCTGCAAGCGAGGCGGGGACGGAATTGCGTGCCCTGGCTTCCGGTTCCCACACCCCCTCTTCTCCGCCGCCCTTGCGTTCCATAGAGGTGGAGGAGCCGGCTAGAGCGACTCCTAGCCTTTCAAGGAGTTGGGTGGAGGGTTAAGATCCGAAACAACTAGGTCTCAACCACGGGTGGCGTGCCGTTGTCATTCTGTTTAATCCCTTCGGTATGGAAAGGTTTTGCTTGACTTTCTTGATAGTGCCGCTTTTGGAAATTACATGGCAGTTATTTTGTAGCGTGCTCCTGGCGTAAATTCAGGTTATACATCTTGGACGGGAATGCTACAGAGGTGATCCTGCATTTTTCTCATTGAACCCATTATTGAAATGTGGCCCATTGATAATTTTCACCATTAGATTAAGGTGACCTCTGCTATATTTTTCCACTAAAAATATCTTTCCCTTTCTAATTAATATTTTGTGGAGGTGTACTTTTTCTTTTTTTAAATGATAACCTTATGTTTTGTTGTTGTTGTTAATCTTCACCTGAGGCTATTTTCCATTGATGTTTAGAGAGAGTGGAAGGAAGGGGGAGAGACAGAGAGAGGGAAACATAGATGTGTGAGAGACACATCTTTTGGTTGCCTTCCCTACGTGCCCCGACTGGGGCTGGGGATTGAGCATGCAAACGAGGTATATACTCTTGAACAGAATCGAAGCCCGGATTCTTCAGTCCGCGGGAGGGCGCTCTACCCACTGAGCCAAACTGGCTAGGGCTGGAGATGTACTTTGAAACCATGTCTGTCTCTCTCTCTCTCTCTCTCTCTCTCTCTCTCTCTCTCAACCATGTATCTCTCTCTCTCTCTCTTTAACCCTCACTGGAGGATATTTTTTTTCATTGATTTTTAGAAAGAATGTTAGACAGACAGAGAGAAACATCAATTGCCTCCTGCACAGCCCCAACTAGGGCCTTGGCCGGAGAGGAGTCTGCAACCGAGGTATGTGCCCTTGATTGGAATTGAACCTGGGACCCTTTGGTCTGCAGGCCAACGCTCTGTCCACTGAGCCAAACCGGCTAGGACAATATCTCATTCTTCATCACACTTTCAATTAGTTCTTATATATGTATCTTCTTGTATATATGTATAATTTATATAGTATTTGTATAGCCACATTGGCTTATGGTTTATTTTACCTGATGGATTATAACCCACTACTATAATTACTTATTTTGATGTTCAGAGTTGTCCAGTGGGAGTCATTCCAATCAATGATTCATCCATACCAATCTTTTTTTTTAATCTTCACCCAAGGGTATGTTTTTATTGATTTTAAAGAGAAGGAGGGAGAGGGGGAGAGATAGAAACATCCATCAGTTGCCTCCGCTCCAGGCCCACCAGGGATCAAACCCACAACCTAAGTATGTGCCCTGACTGGAAATCAAACCCAGAACCCCGCATGCATGGGGGGACGTTCCAACCAAGTCACAACATCCAGGGTCATCCTTGCCAGTCTGTGAGAACTTCTTTTCTGGCACAAGATATCCCAGGTTCATCACGTACAGGAGGAAACAAAAGTAGGTTTACAGTTATACATATAAAAATACAATAATAAACAATACAAGAATAAACTGTTTTGTATACTCACAACTGTAAACTACTTGTGCCTGCCATTTTATGTTCTTTGCCCCAACCCTGGAATTGGCCATTTCACCAAGGAACCCTTGTTCCTTATGGGACAGAATGTTTGTGTTCCCCCTAAAAATTTGTACATTGAAGCCCTACATCCCAATGTGATTGTATCTGGATGTGGGATCTTTGGGAGACAATCAGGGTTTGATGAGGTCATGAGGATGAGACCTTCATGATGGTAGATTAGTGCCCTCATCAGAGACACCAGAGAACTTGCTGACTCTCTGCCACATGAGGACACAGCAAGAAGGTGGCTATTTGCAAGCCAATGAGAGCTCTCACCAGAAACCAAATAGGCCTTTATCTGGGATTTGCCACCATTCTGAACTGTGAAAATAAACTTCTGTTATTTAAGCCACCCACTCTGTGATACTTAGCCCAAGTAGACTAAGATTTTGATAACAAGAAATGAGGTGCTGCTCTAAAAAACATGTAAAAATGTGGCAGCTTTAGCAGAATAAGACAGTGAAGAATTTTGAAGGCAAGCCATGAGAACTCAATGAAGAGAATTAGAGAATATACGTATGTGAGCATATATGTACATTCTCATGTCTCTACACTTATCTACTTTTGTCTTCAATCATGAATTCATACTCTTTTTTAAAAAAATATCTTTTTATTGATTTCAAAGAGGAAGGGAGAGGGCAAGAGATAGAAACATCATTTGATGAGAGAGAATCATGGATCAGCTGCCTCCTGTGGGGATCGAACTTGTGACCCAGGCATGTGCCCTTGACCAGAATCGAACCTGGGACCCTTCAGTCTGCAGGCCAATGCTCTATCCACTGAGCAAAACTGGCCAGGGCATGAATTCATACTCTTAAATCCAATTTCAACCGAACCCCACAGGTTTCATTTTAGGTTTTGCCCTTTTTGAATTCATAAGTAATAACTTTCTCTGACAGTAAGAAAAATCAAGCTCACTGTATAGCCTGGATGCTGTGAAAGATTGATTTTAAACTTTGTTACAATGAGTTTCTTTCCATTTTGTCCAAAGTCCTAAAGTACAGTGCTTAGTTCTGGGTTGTTGTCCTTCCTCCTAAGGTATGGCTCTTTGGTTTCAATGGGTATCCCAAAGTATACACTCCTTTTAGTGGAATTTTAATTTCAAACTGTATTACCCCAGCAGTTGCTACCTCTACTCAGTTCCTTAAATTCAACTATTGCTTTCTGCTGGGTTCCTCTGAATATTACATTGCACAAGTGATACCCAGAATGGCAAGCTGGATTCCAGGTTCTTGTCCTATGAAGTGTGAATAAACAATCTCAGACTAAAAGATTTTTAGCAAAAGCATGGAAATTTATTGCAGGCATATAAAATCTCCCCCTGGGGAGGGGTCCCCAAAATGGGAAAAAGACCCAGTGAGTCTTTGTCTAAGGGTTTATAAAATGTTGACAGCTTCTTTGTACATGCTTTCTAACTGGACCCTTCCTCGTTTTATGGCGCCTCGTGTTTTCCCCTAATTGGCCAATTTCCCCCTTTCCCTGCCTAGTACCAGTTTCAAAGTTTCCAAGCTCACCAGGTTCTCACCCTTCCTTTTGTAAGATAAACACTGTAGTGGTATTGGAGCTGGCTCTGTCCTTCAGTCCTTCACGTATGCATTCCTTTCCCATGGACCCTTCCCTAACTGCCTCTCCTATCTCCAAATCCTTTCACAAGTACAATTTGAAAGGAATCTGTAGACAGATTTTGGGGCTTATATGTTTGAAGCTCTCTCCTTTTCAAGATTTCCTTCCTAATTTCCAGCTGTTCTAGAAGACCCTAACAATCCCTCAGCTGAGCAAGACTGTCACATTCTATTTCCAAGCACACTGCACAAACTGGAAATTTCCCTCTGGGTAAAAGCTAGTACATTAGTTTGTGCAGTTGATGCCTGTTTGCTCTCTAGTCTTTTATATTTTATTCAAAGTTTACAATTGTTGGCAAGAAAGTTAATCCAATACAAGCTACTCCATTACTAGACTGCAACCTCTGAAATCTAAAAGTTTCAAATAAAAAAATTAAAGGCAAAATAAAGTTTGTAATTTATTTCAAGTCCATTAGGATAAACACCACTTTATGCAACCAAACCTTTTAATGTATTTCTTGTGAAGAAAAGTACAAAATACCAGATTAAAATAGAAACCAGCATTTAAAGGAAAATCTTTTGACTTATAGTCCACAACCAAACTGTAATTCATTCTACCAAAAGAACTAGGTTTTTTTTTGTACAAAATATAAAGAATAAACAAAGACTACTATATATTTACTTAAATTAGAATTCTAGCATCTGCTTTTCCTCCAGTTATTTCCAAGCACAAAGCATACTGCAGGTCAGAGATCTGATAACCTCATTGGGCAAAATGTCTTAGAATAAGCTTTTACACTTAAGATATCTTGAAAGATAGTATTCTTTCCCTTGGCTTAGAGACCAGTACCTCAATAGGTCCTTTTTTTTTTTTTTAATGATCTATTTCTTTTTTTTTAATGTTTTTATTGATTTCAGAGAGAGGAAGGGAGAGGGAGAGAGAAATAGAAACATCAATGATGAGAAAGAATCATCAATTGGTACCTCCTGCATGACTCCCCCCATTGGGGATGGAGCCCACAACCCAGGTGTGTGACCTCCTGGTTCATGGGTCGACATTCAATCACTGAGTCACACTGGGCGGGCATCAATAAGTTTTAATTTAGCTTACAAAACTCTGCCTTATTAACATGAAGAGCACACTATAATTTAATGTTTAAGCATTACCTTTTAGGAAGAATGTGACACAGAGTTCAATGCAAAATCTAAAAGGTTACAATCTAAGTCTAATATTAATTTTAAAAATCTCAGCAACTTCTATGTTGAAAAAGACCGAACCAACCCCTTACACCTTCTACTATTATCATTATTCTATTTTCACGGTCCTTCTATGAAAGAAACACAGCTTAAAATAAAACTTGGTCACATTTTACCAAGAGCAAGAGTAAAACTAAGAAGAATGTTAAAAAAAAAAAAAAGAATGTGTGTCTTCATTATAAAATTCTTATCTAGCAGGGGCAAGGTTTTAATTTGTTCTCTCAAAACCAAAGATATTTTTCCCAAATGAAAAAAAATCTTTGTTCCTACTGTAAAACTATTCTTTCCACCCACGGCATTTTACATAAAAGCACCAAAGAAAATTTCTGTAAACAAACTTTTAACCAGTAAACTAAGGGCAAATATCCATTTGCCTTTATTACAATATTTAAAAGGTCATAATACGAGTCTCTACTTCCTACAATGACATTTT